ATAAACCATATTGTGTTATTAACATAAACCACATTGTGTTATTAACATAAACCATATTGTGTTATTAACATAAACCACATTGTGTTATTAACATAAACCATATTGTGTTATTAACATAAACCACATTGTGCTATTAACATACACCATATTGTGTTATAAACATAAACCACAGTGTGTTATTAACATAAACCATATTGTGTTATTAACATAAACCACATTGTGTTATTAACATAAACCATAGTGTGTTATTAACATAAACCACAGTGTGTTATTTACATAAACCACATTGTGTTATTAACATACACCATATTGTGTTATTAACATAAACCACATTGTGTTATTAACATAAACCACAGTGTGTTATTAACATACACCATAGTGTGTTATTTGTAATTAACATAAACCACACTGTGTTATTTACATAAACCATAGTGTGTTATTAACATAAACCACAGTGTGTTATTAACATAAACCACAGTGTGTTGTTAACATTAACCACAGTGTGTTATTAACATAAACCACAGTGTGTTATTAACATAAACCATAGTGTGTTATTAACATTAACTATAGTGTGTTATTAACATAACCATAGTGTGTTATTAACATAACCATAGTGTGTTATTAACATACACCATAGTGTGTTATTAACATAAACCACAGTGTGTTATTAACATAAACCAGTGTGTTGTTAACATTAACCACAGTGTGTTATTAACATAAACCACAGTGTGTTATTAACATAAACCATAGTGTGTTATTAACATTAACAGTATTGTGTTATTAACATAAACCAAAGTGTGTTATTAACATAAACCACAGTGTGTTATTAACATAAACCATAGTGTGTTATTAACATACACCATAGTGTGTTATTAACATACACCATAGTGTGTTATTAACATACACCATAGTGTGTTATTAACATAAACCATAGTGTGTTATTAACATAAAACATAGTGTGTTATTAACATAAACCATAGTGTGTTATTAACATACATCATAGTGTGTTATTAACAGTGTTATTAACATACACCATAGTGTGTTATTAACATAAACCATAGTGTGTTATTAACATACACCACATTGTGTTATTAACATACACCACAGTGTGTTATTGACATACACCAGAGTGTGTTATTAACATAAAACATAGTGTGTTATTAACATAAACCATAGTGTGTTATTAACATACATCATAGTGTGTTATTAACAGTGTTATTAACATACACCATAGTGTGTTATTAACATAAACCATAGTGTGTTATTAACATACACCACATTGTGTTATTAACATACACCACAGTGTGTTATTGACATACACCAGAGTGTGTTATTAACATTAACAGTATTGTGTTATTAACATAAACCAAAGTGTGTTATTAACATAAACCACAGTGTGTTATTAACATAAACCATAGTGTGTTATTATCATAAACCATAGTGTGTTATTAACATAAACCAGTGTGTTATTAACATACATCATAGTGTGTTATTAACATACACCATAGTGTGTTATTAACATAAACCACATTGTGTTATTAACATTAATAGTATTGTGTTATTAACATAAACCACAGTGTGTTATTAACATAAACCACATTGTGTTATTAACATAAACCATATTGTGTTATTAACATAAACCATATTGTGTTATTAACATAAACCACATTGTGTTATTAACATAAACCATATTGTGTTATTAACATAAACCACATTGTGTTATTAACATAAACCATATTGTGTTATTAACATAAACCACATTGTGCTATTAACATACACCATATTGTGTTATAAACATAAACCACAGTGTGTTATTAACATAAACCATATTGTGTTATTAACATAAACCACATTGTGTTATTAACATAAACCATAGTGTGTTATTAACATAAACCACAGTGTGTTATTTACATAAACCACATTGTGTTATTAACATACACCATATTGTGTTATTAACATAAACCACATTGTGTTATTAACATAAACCACAGTGTGTTATTAACATACACCATAGTGTGTTATTTGTAATTAACATAAACCACACTGTGTTATTTACATAAACCATAGTGTGTTATTAACATAAACCACAGTGTGTTATTAACATAAACCACAGTGTGTTGTTAACATTAACCACAGTGTGTTATTAACATAAACCACAGTGTGTTATTAACATAAACCATAGTGTGTTATTAACATTAACTATAGTGTGTTATTAACATAACCATAGTGTGTTATTAACATAACCATAGTGTGTTATTAACATACACCATAGTGTGTTATTAACATAAACCACAGTGTGTTATTAACATAAACCAGTGTGTTGTTAACATTAACCACAGTGTGTTATTAACATAAACCACAGTGTGTTATTAACATAAACCATAGTGTGTTATTAACATTAACAGTATTGTGTTATTAACATAAACCAAAGTGTGTTATTAACATAAACCACAGTGTGTTATTAACATAAACCATAGTGTGTTATTAACATACACCATAGTGTGTTATTAACATACACCATAGTGTGTTATTAACATACACCATAGTGTGTTATTAACATAAACCATAGTGTGTTATTAACATAAAACATAGTGTGTTATTAACATAAACCATAGTGTGTTATTAACATACATCATAGTGTGTTATTAACAGTGTTATTAACATACACCATAGTGTGTTATTAACATAAACCATAGTGTGTTATTAACATACACCACATTGTGTTATTAACATACACCACAGTGTGTTATTGACATACACCAGAGTGTGTTATTAACATAAAACATAGTGTGTTATTAACATAAACCATAGTGTGTTATTAACATACATCATAGTGTGTTATTAACAGTGTTATTAACATACACCATAGTGTGTTATTAACATAAACCATAGTGTGTTATTAACATACACCACATTGTGTTATTAACATACACCACAGTGTGTTATTGACATACACCAGAGTGTGTTATTAACATTAACAGTATTGTGTTATTAACATAAACCAAAGTGTGTTATTAACATAAACCACAGTGTGTTATTAACATAAACCATAGTGTGTTATTATCATAAACCATAGTGTGTTATTAACATAAACCAGTGTGTTATTAACATACATCATAGTGTGTTATTAACATACATCATAGTGTGTTATTAACATACACCATAGTGTGTTATTAACATAAACCACATTGTGTTATTAACATTAACAGTATTGTGTTATTAACATAAACCAAAGTGTGTTATTAACATAAACCACAGTGTGTTATTAACATAAACCATAGTGTGTTATTAACATAAACCATAGTGTGTTATTAACATCAACCAGTGTGTTATTAACATACATCATAGTGTGTTATTAACAGTGTTATTAACATACACCATAGTGTGTTATTAACATAAACCACATTGTGTTATTAACATTAACAGTATTGTGTTATTAACATAAACCATAGTGTTATTAACATAAACTAAAGTGTGTTATTAAAATTAACAGTATTGTGTTATTAACATAAACCATAGTGTGTTATTAACATAAACCATAGTGTGTTATTAACATAAACCATAGTGTGTTATTAACATAAACCATAGTGTGTTATTAACATAAACCATAGTGTGTTATTAACATAAACCACAGTGTGTTATTGACATAAACCACATTGTGTTATTAACATTAACAGTATTGTGTTATTAACATAAACCAAAGTGTGTTATTAACATTAACAGTATTATGTTATTAACATAAACCATATTGTGTTATTAACATAAACCATAGTGTGTTATTAACATAAACCATAGTGTGTTATTAACATACACCACATTGTGTTATTAACATAAACAGTATTGTGTTATTAACATAAACCAAAGTGTGTTATTAACATTAACAGTATTGTGTTATTAACATAAACCATAGTGTGTTATTAACATAAACCACAGTGTGTTATTGACATAAACCACAGTGTGTTATTAACATAAACCATAGTGTGTTATTAACATAAACCATAGTGTGTTATTAACATAAACCACAGTGTGTTATTAACATAAACCACAGTGTGTTATTAACATAAACCACAGTGTGTTATTAACATAAACCATAGTGTGTTATTGACATAAACCACATTGTGTTATTAACATACACCACATTGTGTTATTAACATAAACCACAGTGTGTTATTAACATAAACCATAGTGTGTTATTAACATAAACCACAGTGTGTTATTAACATAAACCATAGTGTGTTATTAACATTAACCATAGTGTGTTATTAACATAAACCATAGTGTGTTATTAACATAAACCATAGTGTGTTATTAACATAAACCATAGTGTGTTATTAACATACACCATAGTGTGTTATTTGTTATTAACATAAACCATAGTGTGTTATTAACATACACCATAGTGTGTTATTTGTTATTAACATAAACCATAGTGTGTTATTAACATAAACCACAGTGTGTTATTAACATAAACCACAGTGTGTTATTAACATAAACCATAGCGTGTTATTAACATAAACCATAGTGTGTTATTAACATTAACAGTATTGTGTTATTAACATAAACAGTATTGTGTTATTAACATTAACAGTATTGTGTTATTAACATAAACCAATCTATATATTACATCAGAACCAGTGGTCAAAAGTCACCACCATGTTTTGTTGTGAGATATCAAAACTTCCATCAGAAATGTCATGTAACAAAAATATTTGTTTTAAAGAAATGTATGAACTATTCATATCAATGGATTCAGAAAGATTCGTATAATTAATATTAGCTGACTAAACATGTTAACACAACTTGTTGTTAGATGTTTAGAAAATATGTTTTCACAAAGAAAACACTATAAGACCCTACTTATCAGTACCTACGACGTCATGCGTAAAATGACATACCATTATGTACAAATTTTACAAATTGTGTTGTCTATTAAACCTGTCTGATTAACTTATTCAATATAAACAGGAGTAAGATTAGACAGAAGATATATCTTTCGTTACCTTGGTTCTGGCATTCATATTACATCCAAGGCTGGCCAGGTAACATGCAATTTCCAGATGTCCTCCCACAGCAGCATACATTAATGGTGTGGCTCCATTCTGTAATATCAACATATAACAGACATCAAAACTTGTGTCATAAACTGGACAGTGTTAAATAAATATAGGTAAAATATATATATTGTATATCACATGAATCAGTGGTCAAAAATAAATAAAAAATGATCAGTCACTCTTGCATTTATATTCTACATAAACAACAAATAAACAACATGTCTCGTTGTGAGATGTCTGAACTATGATCAGAATTGATATGTCAAAAACTCTTTTTAGGAAAGAATCAAATATCTATATCAATAGACAAAGGTGAACAAGACAACTGAATTGAAATCCCACTTTATATAATTTTATCAATTATTTGTTATCATTAAAAGATGTTTGACATTAGATATGTATCATTTATATTATATTATTGGTTGTTGGTAGGAACTGATGGCTGTCATGTGTTTGATCGATGATTGTTAGTTGTTGGTTGTATCTTTAAATTATGTCTCTATTTTATAGCTGGTATTGCTGGATGGTTGTCATGTGTTTGATTGATGATTGTTAGTTGTTGGTTGTATCTTTAAAATATGTCAGTATTTTATAGCTGGTATTGCTTGATGGCTGTCATGTGTTTAATTGATGATTGTTAGTTGTTAGTTGTATCTTTAAAATATGTCAGTATTTTATAGCTGATATTGTATGATGGATGTCATATGATTAGTGACTTTGTATCGGTAGTGTTTGTATTTTTAGTGTAATGATGTGATTGGTTGTTGGTTGTACTATGTTATGTGTTTGATGTCTGACTTTGTATCTGTAGTGTTTGTACTTTTAGTGTATTGATGTGGTGGGTTGTTGGTTGTACTATGTTATGTGTTTGATTAGTGACTTTGTATCTGTAGTGTTTGTATTTTTAGTGTAATGATGTGGTGGGTTGTTGGTTGTACTTTGTTATGTGTTTGATAAGTGACTTTGTATCTGTAGTGTTTGTATTTTAAGTGTTATGATATGGTGGGTTGTTGGTTGTACTTTGTTATATGTTTGATTTCTGACTTTGCATCTGTAGTGTTTGTATTTTTAGTGTAATAAATGTGGTGGGTTGTTGGTTGTACAATGTTATGTGTTTGATTAGTGACTTTGTACTTGTAGTGTTTGTATTTTTAGTGTAATGATGTGGTGGGTTGTTGGTTGTAATATGTTATGTGTTTGATTAGTGATTTTGTACTTGTAGTGATTGTATTTTTAGTGTAATGATGTGGTGGGTTGTTTGTTGTACTATGTTATGTGTTTGATTAGTGACTTTGTTTCTGTAGTGTTTGTATTTTTAGTGTAATGATGTGGTGGGTTGTTGGTTGTACTATGTTATGTGTTTGATAAGTGATTTTGTACTTGTAGTGATTGTATTTTTAGTGTAATGATGTGGTGGGTTGTTTGTTGTACTATGTTATGTGTTTGATTAGTGACTTTGTTTCTGTAGTGATTGTATTTTTAGTGTAATGATGTGGTGGGTTGTTTGTTGTACTATGTTATGTGTTTGATTAGTGACTTTGTTTCTGTAGTGTTTGTATTTTTAGTGTAATGATGTGGTGGGTTGTTGGTTGTACTATGTTATGTGTTTGATTTCCGAGTTTGTATCTGAAGTGTTTGTATATTTAGTGTAATGATGTGGTGGTTTGTTGGTTGTACTATGTTATGTGTTTGATTAGTGACTTTGTATCTGTATTGTTTGTATTTTAGTGTAATGATGTGATGGGTTGTTGGTTGTATTATGTTATGTGTTTGATTAGTGACTTTGTACTTGTAGTATTTGTATTTTTATTGTAATGATGTGGTGGGTTGTTGGTTGTACTATGTTATGTGTCTGATTAGTGACTTTGTTTCTGTAGTGTTTGTATTTCAGTGTAATGATGTGATGGGTTGTTGGTTGTACCTAGATATGTATTTGATTAGTGACTTTGTACTTGTAGTGTTTGTATTTTTAGTGTAATGATGTGGTTGGTTGTTGGTTGTACTATGTTATGTGTTTGATTAGTGATTTTGTACTTGTAGTGTTTGTATTTTTAGTGTAATGATGTGATGGGTTGTTGGTTGTACTATGATATGTGTTTGATTAGTGACTTTGTATCTGTAGTGTTTGTATTTTTAGTGTAATGATGTGGTGGGTTGTTGGTTGTACTATGTTATGTGTTTGATTAGTGACTTTGTATCTGTAGTGTTTGTATTTTTAGTGTAATGATGTGGTGGGTTGTTGGTTGTACTATATGTGTTTGATTAGTGACTTTGTATCTGTAGTGTTTGTATTTTTAGTGTAATGATGTGGTGGGTTGTTGGTTGTATTATGTTATGTGTTTGATTAGTGACTTTGTACTGGTAGTGTTTGTATTTTTAGTGTAGTGATGTGGTTGGTTGTTGGTTGTATTATGTTATGTGTTTGATTATTGACTTTGTACTGGTAGTGTTTGTATTTTTAGTGTTATGGTGTGATGGGTTGTTAATTGTACTATGTTATGTGTTTGATTTGTGACTTTGTATTTGTAGTGTTTGTATTTTTAGTGTAATGATGTGGTGCTTTGTTGGCTGTACTATGTCATGTGTTCTATTTATAGTGACTTTGTATCTGTTTGTTTTTTTCCAATATATGTGCTTGTGTTTTCTATGTCTTCAGTGTCTTGTTGGTGGTTGGTATAAGTAAATTATGACTGTCATGTGTTTTAATTGGTGTTGGTAAGTTGTTGGTTGTGTCTTTACAATAAGTTTCTTCTATTTGATGCTTGTTGTTAGTGCCTGATGGCCGTCTTGTGTTTAAAGGTAATAGTTGTGTTTTTATAATTAGTTTTTTATTAAATAGCTGCTAGTTCTTCATGGCTGTTAATTGTTTGATTGGCGATTGCAAGTTGTTGGTTGTGTCTTTACAATTAGTCTTTTTCTATTTTTGGATTGTTGTTTGTGTCTGATGGCTGTCATGTGTTTGATTGGCGACTGTACGTTGTTGGTTGTGTCTTTACAATTAGTCTTTTCTTTTTGTTGGCTGTTTTTAGAGTCTGATGGCTGTCATGTGTTTGATAGATGACTGGAAGTTGTTTGTTGTGTCTTTACAATTAGTTTCTCTTGATTGGTGGCTGTTAGATGTTGGTTGTGTTTTTACGATGAGTCTTTTTAATTTGTTGGTTGTTGTTAGTACCTGATGGCTGTACTCTTTGATTGGTAACAGTAAGGTGTTTGATGTGTCTTTACAAGTAGTATCTCCTATTTGTTGATTATTGTTTGTGCCTGAAGGTTGTCATGTTTGATTTGTGACTGTAAGTTGTTTGACGTGTTTTTACAATTAGTCTCTTTTATTTGTTGTTTGACGTTAGTGCCTAAATGGCTGTCATGTCTTTGATTGGTAACTTACTTGTTGGTTGTGTCTTTTTACAAAAGTCTTTTCTATTTGTTGGTTGTTATTTATGCCTGATGGCATTCATGTGTTTGAATTGTAACTGTAAGCTGTTGGTTTGTTTTTACAAGTAGTCTCTTCTATTCATTGGTTGTTATGTTTGCCTGATGGCTTTCATGTGTTTGAATTGTATCTGTAAATTGTTGGATTTTTATTACAATTAGTCCCTTCTGTGTGTTGGTTGTTGTTAGTACCTGATGGTTGTCATGTTTGATAGGTGACTTTTAGTTGTTCGATGTGTTTTACATTTACCCTCTTCTAGTTGTTGGTTATTGTTAAGGCCTGGTGGCTGTCATGTTTGATTGGCGACTGTTAGGTCTTGGTTGTGCTTTAACATTTAGTTTCTTCTATTTTTTTATTGTTGTAAGTACATGATGGCTGTCATGTGTTTGAATTGTAACTGCAAGTTGTTGGTTGTGTTCTAACAATTATTCTTTTCTTTTAGTTGGTTGTTGTTAGTATCTGATGGCTGTCATGTATTTGGATTGTAACTGTATGTTTTTTGTTGTTTCTTTACAATTACCCTCTTATTTTTGTTGGTTGTTGTTTGTGCCTGCTGGCTGTCATGCATTTGAATTGTAACTGTAAGTTGTTTGTTGTTTCTTTACAATTACCCTCTTCTATTAGTTGGTCGTTGTTAGTGCCTGATGGCTGTTATGTGTTTGATCGATGACTGTAAGTTGTTGGTTGTGTCTTTACAATTATTCTCTGCTTTTGGTTGGTTGTTGTTAGTGTCTGATGGCAGTCATGTGTTTTATCAATGACTATTACTTGTCTTTATAATAAGTGTCTTATTGGCAGTTGGAAGTGTCTGAAGGTTATTACATGTCTAATTGGTGATTGTAAGTTGTTGGTTAAGTCTTTTTTTTTTAGTCTTGTTAGTTGTTGGAAAAGCCTGATAGCTGTCATGTTTTTGATAGGTGAGTATTTTTTGCTTGTTGTGACTTTAAAATTAGTCTTTTATGGTTATTTTGTGTGTGATTGCTTTCATGTGTTTCTTTGGTAGGTGTTAGTTGTTGCATTTATTTTAAGAATAAATCTCTTATGGTTGTTTGTTGTTGGTAGTGCCTGATGCCTGTCATGTATGTTTAATGTTTGATGAGTAGGTTGTGTGTTTACAATTAGTTTAAAATGGTTGTTGGCTGTTGTAGTGCCTGGTAGTCATGTGTTTGATTGCTGACTGTGTCTTTACAGTTAGTTTTAAATGGTTGTTGGCTGTTGTAGAGCCTGGTAGTTGTCATATGTTTGATGAGTAGGTTGTGTGTTTACAATTAGTTTAAAATGGTTGTTGGCTGTTGTAGTGCTTAGTGATTATTATGTGTTTGATTGGTGATTGCGTCTTTACAATTAGTTTCAATTAGTTGTTGGCTGTTGTTGAACTTGGTAGTTGTCATGTGTTTGATTGGTGATTGTTTAGTTATAATAAAATTCAAATGGTTGTAGGCTTTTGTAGTGCCCAGTAGTTATGTATTTTGTTGGTGACAGTGTCTTTACAATTAGATTCAAATGGTTGTTGGCTGTTGTAGTGCCTGGTAGTCATGTGTTTGATTGATGACACTGTCTTTATAATTAGTTTCAAATGGTTGCTGGTTGTTGTAGTGCTTGGTGGTCATCATGAGTTTGATTGGTGACA